GTGCGTTTATTGGTGGAGCTAAATGTCTGAAGGGTAGAGCATGATAATAGGTTAACATTCCCAAAGTGCTGTATTTTAGTAAAAATATTTGCTTGAATCCATGTAAGACCCTAAAAGGAGGCGGAAAAAGTAAAAAGTGATGCTAATAAAATCTAAAATGCCAGGAGTGTCTAATTGAATCATCATTGTGGGATTTGTGCAATGTTAGAGGTCAAGGAGTCAGTAAAATGCTAAAAAATAAGAAATGCGTCGACTTTAAAATATCAAACAACAGAGTGACTTATATATTTTTAGTTTAGAACAAAGTCGACCACGATATCCACTGTCAGAGGCAAACATCCATCCGTGGACACGTCCACGACAGTAGACTGAATAAGAAATACCTCAAGTCATAACATACTTTTGGGCAATGAGCCCGGTATCAACAGGCTACAACTGTATGTGTCACAGGCAGATGAGGCTGTGCGTAATGGATCTGGACACGAGCACTGTACTGTGCACTAAAATGAATCAATAACATGCAATTCCCCTTTTCTAGTAATACTTTAAATATATGAATTTTGGCATCTAACAGTCGGATCGTAGATTTCTCCATTTGGAAGAGGTTCACACAAGTGTAGCGTTATGGAAAATGGAATATAGTGTCTCACCGACAAAATAATCGAACAGTCAGCAGTGTACCCGATTCTGAGTACGACCGAGGAATGGGGGCGGCTTACTAAAGTTTTGCGATAGGTTTTCTTGAGGGTCAGTTTATACAGAAAACATTTTTTTATCTTTTTAAACGAGAACGAAATTAAATAACCGACAGTCAATCTTCCCTGCATCAAACCAAGGGATGTTGGCCATTTTCTATAGGTTTTCAATTAGCGGTGCAATGAGCTGACTAGAAGCTAGAGGTTTAACATGAATCATCGAAAAAATTTGTCACTTGTAAAGATACAGGTAATTAATCTTTCTCTAAATGCGGAACGGTATAATACGGCCTTTTCTGTTAACTTTGCCTGATTTCAAGCTCGCCTTTGGTCAAATGGTAAAATATTGCATAAATCGTCGGAGTTTAGTTCCTTTCTGTTCCAAATTACAGTAGAGCAGAAATCATGCCTCGAACAAGGCATATTTTTATCTTTTCAACATGTCAAATACCCTCTCGAAGATGACAACATTAAGGCCATTCCTAAAAAACCACAATCTTCAAGAACATACCACCGCGCTTAAGCGGAAAAATCAATAGTTAGGCACGAAATCAGGCAGATTTGCAACTCTGAAACCCAGAAATCGATGAAACGCCAGACTTGAAATAAATCAGATCTAAAAAAATCGATCATCTTGTGCAGCAAGTCCACTTCGGTAAAATACTCAAGGTTAAATTACTCGCCCAACATACAATCACGAGTTTCTATAAATACTTGCAGGAGCCTCGCAAAATTCACAGTATGCAGAAGGCTTATAAGCCGTTGGAAAGGAATCAAATCAAGTCATGAATGGCTAACAGTCCTTATTGTACGAAGGCGTACTTAATGCGCTTTACGATGACGACCTAAGTGTAGGCAGATTTGAGATGTCATGAGACACACCAGCTCTGGGGGATGGAGACTGATTCCTGTACTTTGATACTTGCTTTGCAGTGGCCACAACAACCAACCCTCGTCGATACTTTCAAACTCTGTGGGGCCGCATTTCACCTGATGTTTGCTTCTGCTCCTTTTTGCGGCGCGTTTCTGGTACATAAAATGGTCCCACTGGAGATGCATCAACGGCGGACACAAAAAGTGCGTATTTAATTGAAAGAAAGCCAAGTTACGGCGAAAATGAGCCCTTTGTATTCCGAAATCTTGCTCGAAATTGTATCAGTTCGCCTTATCCTCCACTCATATACAGTGGTAGGGGGCGCTCACCGATCGTTCATACGGAACTCACTCGTTCCGTTGTGCCTTACGGGCTCTCTCTCGAGCCCAACCAGTAGAGGCGTTGGTAGAGGCGTGGACTTCTAAACCAACAGGTCGCGAGTTCGAGGCTCGGGTTTTCCACACTTCGGGCTTGGGTATGGCTGGCTGACGACGGCTAATAAGCCAGAAATGGCCATTCCAGTCTCCCTTGTCTTTTTCGGTAATAGCATTCTGCCTATATATCATGCGCCGCTGTGCGGCTGTTGGTTGGGCTCGAGAGAGAGCCCGTAAGGCACAACGGAACGAGTGAGTTCCGTATGAACGATCGGTGAGCGCCCCCTACCACTGTATATTCCCGATCGAAAACCGACAAGGCAACGGGCTCGTGGCCCGGTGGGTAGAGACGTGGACTTCTAAACCAACAGGTCGCGAGTTCAAGGCTCGGGTGTTCCACACTTGGGGCTTGGGTATGGCTGGCTGACGACGGCTAATAAGCTCGAAATGGCCGTTCCAGTCTCCCTTGTCTTTGTCGGTAATAGCATTCTGCACATACATATATATCAGAGGGTAAGGATGTCATCGTCTTCGTAGTTACTTGCTCGTTCATGAACTTTGCAATCCATAAGGAGTTTCTTGCTTCGGAAAGCCAATAGGTCGGTGGGCGTTCCGTCTCGTCTAACGTATATATACGCACACATAAATTCAGCGACAGACTCATGAAGTGCGTTTTCGATTAGGAAGGACTGGTTAAGTGTGCATGTAAGATCGATTATCCTTCGACATATTCCCGCAATATTTTAGACAGGTAAGGATCCTTCTTTTAAATGCATCTTCTTTCGGTTGCTTCATAGACCGTAGATTGATCCTTCTAATGAAAGGTTGGCCGAAATTCTGAAATGCGTTTTCGACTAGGAAGGATTACATAGGTGGGGTTGTATCGATTCGGCCTATCCTCCACTCATCTGTGAGTACTGATTTATGTTCCCACTGTTACATGCATTGTTGAAAAAGTGCACAATTTACAGCATGCACTACTCCGACGGACCCGCTTTGATCTGATTTTTGCATGCTCCATTTTATGAGGTCTTAAAATCTTAATGTACTTACATACGCTGTGCTGGACAATTGCTGGCAAGGATCTTTATGAAACACGCAGGATGCTGTACGATATAGCTGAGACTCATCCGCCGATAACAGTTTCTCATCACACATGTTAAGAAAGTAAGCCGTTGAGTGCAGCAAATTAGAGCTAAAAGTGACAGGGCAGTTATTAGGGCTAGAGCCGAAATATTCCGGTATGACAAGTTAAATCAGACTAAGGATGTGCTTCTTTAAATCCGCTGGCTTCATATACGTTGATTAACCACAACTTCTTCCATAGCTTTTGGCCGACTACCGTGGCGAGAGATATGGAAGTGCATAGAGGCAGATAAAGTGAAAAAGTTAGCATGAATCACCACTAAATAAAGCATTTCAACAATCCACGAATGGAGGAATCGGGCCTCATTCCACACAAAAAATCATGTTTGCAGAAGATCGGAACTTTAACGGATGCTTTATTCCTACTTATGTCATTTGCATCACTCCATGCAAAATTTGCAATGGGTCGTTTTTGTGATCAAGGGATTTCGATTGAAGCTTCTCTTCACGACGCCCTATATCAGCTAAGAACCTCTCCCCACGGCCACGAGGAGGTCGGAATTTTATTTTCTTTTCTTGTTTTAACCGTCCTAAGCGGCCTTATTCGCATCCTCCAGTTAATCCACTTTGCACTCAGCCTCGGAATAGGGTCGGGCCATGAACTATGGTAATGCTTATAGAAAACAAAATTAGTTTACTACTCGTGTTCTCCCTCTTACACTAATTGGGTTGTCTAGCTGCTGAAAAATGCATTAGTAGCGTAGGCCAGCTTCATCACAAAACCTTCTTTTTTTGTAATATTAACCGTCATATTAACCACTGCTGCACACAAAAATTTTATTTTCTCGCAATTGGCATACCAGAATTTTGTCCGATTACCTATATTCAGCAAACTGTAGCCTAACCCCCACGCAAATTGAAAGCGCCTGTAATTCCAGAATTAAACGGGCAATTTAACAGCAGTCCCATTTTGAGGAAGGCAACTGTAGCCGCATTACATTGTGTCAAATGGCGCACTGTTAGGCCCGCATATTCATTGACATCTGATGTAAGTATAGGCGTCTACGGAAACGCTAGAATACATAGCCAATTTCCAATTCGCTGTTGCTTGTGCGGACATAATCATACGCGGACGCAGCAGGTTCAGTCAACTGTTATGCATACTGACTACTGATTATGAAATCAGGACAACGGAATACGACTGTGCTTTATCAAGCTGGACGCGACAAGCTGAATGGATATATTTCTCGGCAGACAAAAGAAACCGAAACGATCTCAGTAAATAATCATTCTTGGTAACAGGGTATAATGGATTTTCCTATTCGAAGACACCTATTTCTTCCCCTTGCCTTGTGAGAGATGAAAAGGGAACTTCACCGAACACTTTCTACGCTTGTTTACATACACCGCCATCAGGTAGACTATTATCCCCAAACTGCTAATCGTGGCATGCCTTGAAGTTCACCGCTGGCGTTCCACCCTTATTTTGGAATTTTACACTTCGTACACCCTGAACGCATTCCATTGAATTTCCGCGGCTCATTCACAAATTATCGCTACAACTCCTCAGATCGGTTGATTATTCTATGGACAAAATCCCAATTGACACAAAGATCGTCAACGAAAGAATGCACCCTAGACTCCCTCTGAATCATGGTGAAAATCGACAATCCCACATGTTCAGTCTCTTTCCCTTTTTATCTGCTTCAGTATAAGGTTTGCCAAAAAGCATGCGATAATCTAGTTAGTAATTGCCGGCTCCGCTTTGGTTCAGCCGCATAAATGGACCTCTATCGGTGGGCTACAATTGCTTTGCAAGGAATTCGAAATTTCTGTCCGCTCGTTAGCTCTCCAAGACGTTCATGCAATGGACCCAACCAATTTAATTCGTAAAGCGATTGCAGATAAACCACACCAATAATAGAACAAGTTCAGTTGAATTCACCCACCACCAAACCATGCCGCCAAGGCTTACTCTAAAACACAGACAGCGTTTTATATTAACCAGTGCGCAATTCTCATACAGTGTGAGTATCTACCGTACGCCGGGTTATGAATTTATCATTAAAGGATGACGTTATAGAATGTACTCGCATTGTTTCACAGAATTCAGCAAACGCCATGTGAGGCCTTGAAACTACTTGCGAACTACAGGCTTATGAATGTATTTTTAAGTTGATGGCTCTGTCTTGACACCGGGTGCAGGCGGAAGAATAGGAGAGGGTGCGACAGATGCTACGCAAGTCCACATTCACTACGAACTAAATAACGAGCAAATCTCCGTCCCTGAACCAACGTGCTGTGCAGCACACCCTGGACATCGTCGAAAACGTCGGTTAAACTGTCTGTCAAGTTAATGACTTCAATGCTGACATACATAAAACGCGTTAGAGCAAAAAGAGGATCAGGGCCTCGATGTATTCATTTGCTCTTAATGCAGACTCACGTCACACTTCTACCTTGTAGGCAATTATAACTAAGAAAGGTACGAATGTTGATACTGCATTATAGCTCGGTTAGATTTGGACTAGTACACCGTATATGCCTGTCCAAATTCCCTATCTTATACCACAGTGGAAGCGCTCGGGTTCGCCAACCAGTACCTACTAGGTTACAATGACAAGATGCAATGCATGTGGAACCTCACCTGACATGCAATTCTCGAAACAGGTCTTCAAGCTGGCAAATGCGCCTGCTTTATTCCTCTTCGTGAAGTAATTGCCCTTCTGGCAATCGCCGCTCAGGGGACAGAGGTATGCTGTGTTCTCCTTGGTATTTTCCACTTCAGAGGACAAAAGACGCAGCTTACTAGATGAACAAGAACGAAGATGACACAAAGCGCTGCAATTGCCCAAGATATCCGATGAGAACTTACAAGTTACCCAACCATCACATTTGAAAATGCACTTTCTGAAGCCATCGAATGTACCATCCTTCTTCTCAATTGCACTGCATCTCTCCTCTACACCCCTGCATAGTTTAAAGGACGTCTCGGTGCTCTGTTCAACTGAAAAGTGACAAGCAAATGCTTAACCGCCATGCAAATGCGCCTCTAATATAAAACTGGATGCTGGTAAAATGAGTGTAAGTCAGTGCTGCGAATGTTTGACTTGTTGAGTAGACGAGCTCGCAAGTGCTAGCGGGGGGAGGAGGGGGACAATACAGCGGTTTACCTTTCGCGACAAATTGGCACGCCTGCACACAGAGCACATGCCTTTCAAAGTTCCTGCCGTACCCTGGTCGTCCGTAAACGTCGTACAATGTGCAGGGCTCTTCAGGAGTTTCACAGTAGTAGGCTGTAATTTTCTTACTTAGTCCACCTAAAGGACAAGAAAGAGGTTAAGGACTACCGAGCTACGTGCTCATGTCGATCAGAAATCTGAAAATAGGTGCGGTAAACACAGTCATCATTGACATTCAGAAGGGGGCATGCATGGAGTAAAAATACAGACCTATTTTCTGTGAACAGGCCGTGCGACAGTGCTGGCCTTTGGTCTGATCTCCAGGCTTGAAGTTTATAGTCGTACACTCTGTATGTTCACCTTTGCATAATTTATAATCTGATGGTTCATCGGCGCGTGCTAAAAACAGGAAAGATGAAGTTGCAAGTTAGAAACTGGGGTGAGATTGGAGATTGTGTCCACAAATCTCGTTAGCGAAATTCCAGCAAAAATGGATCACGTCCTTATGCGCGATATTGCAATGCCAAACATGGAACGGGATGCATTACATTAAACTGTGGACTATGGGACGGAGATGTGAGATAGGGGAATTGCAAAGCAGAGGATTAAGTGACCGGACTTACCGAAAATGTCACCAAGGAAGATTAATGCAGCCGGGAGTAGGATCAACGTTTGGAGTCCCATTTTTTGTTGTCGAAGGAGGCTGCCGCCTGCTATACGGTGGAAATCGTACGCCACTTATATAGCTTCTCCACAGATCCCGCTCATATTTGATTGGATGATAGCAATTTCAGTGCGTTCATGTGGCGTCCGGAAAATCCCATTCATAGGCATTTCCAAGGAAATCAGCCCACTGCATGTCTTTATGTGTGAAGTGTCATGTGGTGTGCGTGAGTACTTTTTCAAAATTTCGATTGCAAAAACTGAAATTGTCCAAGGACTGCATCTACACAAACACTGCAAAATGAATTAAGCGTGGATTTGGATGCACCGTACACTTCCGTGGCGGGTATGAAAATGCAAATTCCGAGCGGATAATAATAATGTTTTTCTCCAGATTCTCAACAGTGACACAACAGAACCATGGGACATGAATAATCGTAGATGCCACCGCATGCGTCCTTTGTCGCCCTGTCATTTTATATTCCTTTGTTTCTAAAAGGAGATGTGGACTTTAGCGTTTTTTCACTAATAATAGTATTGTTAGGCATAAATACACAGTGAGTGCTAGACGTTGAGCAGACCACAATACAAAAAGTCTGCATCCTGATTGCTTACCAGTGCCAAAGTAAAATTCGAGTGAAAAGAAATCCTTTTTTCGGGGGTCTATAAACTTGTAGTCCT